ATTCAATGATTTTTTTCTTAAAGTTATATAAGAGATATACTCAAATTTTAAAATTATAGTAAAAGAAGAAGGTATAATGTTCATTTTTGAAAGCCTAGTTTGACTAAATACCTTTTGTTAGTATATTTTTATACTATTTCATTTAACCCACTCTTCCCCTACCTATTTCGAATCTACCACGATCTTTCGAAATTTGACATTTTAGGCAAAGGCGGAGGCTCGTTTGATTTTACAAGTGTGAAACGCGAATTGTTATCCAAGTTGGATACACCATTTTCGGTAAAAACGTTGGAGTCCAGCCAGCAGGTGAAAACGAGCAAGTATGGAGGAAATATACGCGAAGGGAAAACAACGTACAAGCCGGCAGTGCGTGAATCGACTGTGGTGTCGTTGCCTGCCGAGTTACATACCAATTCGAGCTTTCTGTGGAGCAATCGGAGCAACAGTTATTCAGAGAATACGCGTTACGAACAAATGCAATCTATTCTGAGCCACGAGAATCCAGAAGACGTAGATGTTGCCGAAGAATACGATGACGTAGGACCTCTAAATCTTATCGTCCAGGTGATGATAATCACTCTTCCATTACTTGAACGCGACTCCGTTTCATTAAACTGAACACACTTTTCTGTTGCTTGTCAATTTCTGATTAGGAGGATAATTACGACGACGTGGGCACACCGGTATCTCACTCTGATGGAAGCTGTATCAACCAATTATCAACAGCTTTCGAAGATTTTGATAGCATCTATGATGGTGTTATGGCTCCGTGTAACATGGAAAATGTATTCGTACGTAATCAGACAGAAATGTACGAAAAGGAATCGAAACAAGAAAACGACAGCCATCTGTCCGAGAACAACCAGTACTCTAGCGTGGACGAAAATACCGATGACACGCAAGATAATGATCAGGACGTGTATGATGACGTCGGTTTACCGAGCCAGGAACGAGTCAACAGTCTGTATGCTGGCTCTACAACGGGCTCGATCTTAGGATCGACTTCGGCAAACGGCAAAGAATCTGAGTGGGAAGACTTAGAGGAGTCAACGACTATTAGCCTTTCTTATCACGCGGACAAAGACGCGAAAGTTGATTTATCAATGTAAGTGCATTTGGCATCGTATCAATAAGCGATATCTAATCTTCTGATTATTTCACTCTCTACCCATTTCACGAAAAAAGTACGGAAACGCAAGTCGCGTCGAGTAAAAGGAGGTTGTCTGGACAAAAATTGTGTCGAAAAACGAGAAGGCAACGAACCAGAGTATCGAGGAAAAGCTTCAAGTCGTCATCCTCTCAAGTGTTCCATGGTAAGTTTACGCAAAACACTATTTTTACCTATTTTATCTTTGTATTATATTATATTACTA